AGGTGAAGGATGCCAGCTAGGAGAGGAGCTAGGAGAGGAGCTAGGCAAAGTGAGCCATGGCATAATGCTAGTTGCTATTGTTTATTAAAACTCGGTGCTAAATGCTTACTCCTCACAGAAGCCCCATGAGGAACAGACGGAGAGTTGTTATGGCCAAGGCCACACAGCAGGTTAGTGTCATTGCTGGGGTTCCAACTGCCCGCTTCTTGTAGATGACAACGCTTCTTTGATTTGTTGAACTAATAAATGCCTTTCTACCCTTCTGTGTACAAGAAAAACAAAGGAGCAAGGGGGCTGGGACAGCCCAAGAATTGCTGAGCACCAAGGACAATGCCAGTCCTGGACATGACTGACCCCTGAGTCTCCCAGAGTCAAGCCAAGAGCCATCCAGGGGTCGGTCACCTTTCTATTCTGAAGGGTGTCGAGTGAGCCCCCTCCCCATCACAGGTATCTGCTGCTTCCACACCCACACCAACCCCCTAAACCCAGAGCCCTTTTTCTATCCCAAAAGACCCAGACAATTCTTCAGTGAGCTCTGCCATTATACTACCAACCAACACCACCAGTGTGGTGTGTGCAGAATTCCCTTAGGGAATTCTCTGGGTGTTAGTCTTCCAACTCTCCCAGTGATGATCCGGAGACGAGCGCGTAGGAGATGCTTTGTGCAAAGAAAGCGATGGAGTCAGGGTTTGTACCATTCTACTGTGCTGACCTGCGACTCACCAGTACTCACTGGGCAAGTAGGAGACAGAGGGTGCTCTGTTCCTTCTGGGGGCGGGACAGGGAGGATCAGGCAGATAGCAGATATTGTAGTCTTAATCCACGGCAGCCCTGACGACACAGCTCAATTCTCAAGCTTCCTCTAAGCCATTCTGTGGATTGATTCCAGCTTGTATGGGTCAGCGCCTTGGTGAGCAGTAACAAAAACAGATTTAATGAACTGAAGCTGAAGAAGGCTTGCAGTAAGGACAGCAGTTTGAGCCAAGACTGGCCAGGCCAGTGAGGATCAGCCACACTGATCGTTAGTCTGCATATGAGTCCCCTGCCTGGCACTCAGCACCCCACCTCCTCCGTCCTCCTCCACCTGCAGGACCCCGGAGTCATCTCCATCGAAAATATTAATAATGGTTCAGCCTCATCGAGCCTTGCCTCATCCAGGCATGTGCTAAATACTTTCTTAAATTAACTCTCTTTCTAGACGAAGAAACTGAGGCTGGGAAAGGCAAGACTAACAGCCAGTAGTCAGAAGATCCAGGAACCCCACCCACCACCCCTGACTGGAGCATTCCGAGCCTGCATTCTAACCAGTGT